AGTAATCTTCCTTTATTTCCATGATTGTTATTCTGCATTTACTATTTCAGATGCTGCTGAGCTATTCGTTAGCGAAACCAATTTCTTGACAATTTCTGTTCTTTGTTTTGCGAAAATCAAATTTTTGAAAATAACATTCATTGTTAATAATCAAAAAACTTGCAGACAAAAAGCAGAAGTTTTGTATAATAAGAATTATAATAATTATTAAGCAAAAGAATGTAGTTCTTAAAAAATTTTCATTTTATATTACTTTACAAAAATAACTTGCAGCGATAACTTTCAAGAAACTTCTTTATTGTTACTGTCCGAACAATTTTTGTAACTCATAAAAATTCAATTCATCGCATCGACATGACAAATTATAAAGTTAAGGCAAAGCAAAATATGACATTGGCAGCAAAATATTTTCCTTGCGCAAATGTATCAATAAAACTCTTCATCAGTAAGTATCAGAATTATCAATAAACTTCGAAATCAAAAACATTTTTAAAAAAATTTATTTTCAGTTTAGATAACGTATTAAGCTAGAAGACATTTTTTCAGTGAAAAGTGATAGCAAACTAGAAAATAAATTTTTACAACTGTGGGATTTGATAATTGAATTTTTGCTCGATAACACTTGGATATTCTTTGCCAGCTTTTTGCATCTAAAATTTTGCTCAGTTATCTTTTAAATGAAACAAAGAGGTGAAAAAATAATCATTTAATTTAAAATATTTCAAAAAATCTTCAACTTCTCGTTAGCTCACCATTTTAATTCATTGTACTTAATAACTTTTCTCGGAATCAACCTGAGAACGGATTTGATTTTCCCTCTTTTTCCAACTGAAAAATTAGTAAAATACAAGAAGCAAGCTAATAATTTGTTAGTTAATATTGGATAGCAGTAAATTATTAATTACTTATTTACTGCATCAATTATATATTTAATCACTGATTAGTGTATATTAATTCAAAGGAACATGCAAATTTTTTATTTTTTAATGCCATTTTATAACTATTAATTTATTGATGCAATGATAATCAATATATTTTGTCAATACTGTATCAAATTTTCATTTAGGTTAATTACAGCTTCAGCTCAAAATGTGTGGAGCTGGATCACACGTGCTCATCTAAATTTAAATATTATTTATAGTCCGCACAAAATTTTCTTCTTTACTGCACAAATAATAATTACATTTAAGACATTTTACAATGCATTTATTTAAAAATTATTAATATTCAATGTCAACAACTATTATTAATATTTAATGATTATGCACTTATTGATGTAATTTAGCGATGACAAGTTATGAATAATAGAGGGAAATTGAAACATGCGTACGTGCAAAAGAAGTTAGTTAGCTCTTGTAGACTGAATTGTTCAATCTGTCGAAAAACTGAATACGAAATTATTGCAAGGATTTTTTATTTCACTTTTCTGTGATTACTCATCACATCACACTGTCATGAATACGTATGATGTTTTCAGAAGAAAATAATAATATTATTGAAGTGAGCAAACCTTTCTGCCAAGTGATAGAAGGGTGACGCATACTGAGAAAAGGTCACGACCTTCGAAAAGGTCAACTGATTGAAAAGTTTCTTCTGTTGGAACACCCATTTTTTTTGCCCAATTCACAAATGCATTGATATTCTCCAGGCAAGCAAAGTTAGATATTGGCTTTTGAATCTTTTTGATTGCTTGTGGCTCGATGTTATTGGCAAATCTGACAAAGCAGAAATTTTTTGTAGTAGTTCAGCTTTGAATTTACTGTAGCATTCACAGGTTGGAATAGTAAAAAATTTTCTATACTTAAAATATTACTTAGGATTGAAATAAATGCAGAGATTATTTTCACTGCAAAATGTGATGAAGCATGATTGAAATTTTTGATACAGTCATTTTTTATATGCAAAAGAATTTAAAAATTGATATTTTATCAATATTTTATGAATTTTAGATCATATGCAAAAGTAATTTAATAAATATTAAATTTATAATTTTAAAATGTATACAAAAATTGAAAGTGTAAGAATTCGCAACCAATTTAATAATGACATTTCGATGCAGTTTTTTCAGTTAATTCTTTTCAACTAGTACACTGGTATAGTCTTATCACAAACTTGCACTAATTAATATTTTCTGTAAATGATGCAAAATGGCATTATTTGAAATATAATAATTACTTGCAAAGTAGTGTTCCATCTTTCAACAATTTTGAAAAGTTTTCTGCTGATCCTTCTGTTGAAATATTTTCTCCACTCAACTTTTTAATCCATTCTAATAATCCTTCAGCTTCTTCAGGATTAAATTTTGACGCTTGCTGAAACTTCCTCAAAAATATCAAAGCAAAAATAAAATGAAAGTTTAGAATAGTTATTTAACAATTTTTTTAATTTTCTCAAAGAGTTTATAGCACTTTTACTTAAATATTTAACAAAAGAAATTCTTTTACTAATAGAAATTTACAATTCAAATATTTAATTTCCTATTTCATTCATTTTTATAATATAATTAAATTTTATTAGTACTTTCATCAACAAAATAAATTAGTAGGAATAAATTTGCACAAGCTCACAACCGAGAAGAAACTTTTCATAGAAAAAATTAGTTGTGTAAAGTTTTCCTAAAATTTTAACTTATCAATTTGCAATTTAATTTACAACTGAATTTACGATGATTGTTTACACAAATGCTAATGAAAACTTTTGCTTTTAGCAATTTGAAAAGCCGAATTCTAAGACAATTCAGAATAAAATTTACTATTACAAATCAAATTATTCACTAAACATTTGATTTTCAACTGGAATTTGAAAAAGAAATTATTTGAAAATATCGAAATTCCTATATTTAAATTTGATAAACCTTTTGCATAACAGCAAAACCAATGCCACCAGCAGTTGTACGGTGAGACATTTTTTGATAATTTGTGTTCCTAAAAAAGACTTCTTAAAATCAGAAATAAAATTGAAATGATACAGTGTTTACAGTAATAAAGAAAGTGAAGAAAAGTTAAAATTTACTGGATATATATTAGGAAAGTTAAGCTAAGGCATAACAGAGTTAATATTGAGTTAATATGTTATAATCTCAGAACTGAAGCTCGAAGAATGATAGCGTCTTGAGTTTAATCCCATCTTAATGCTTGCGTAGTTTCTGCTCGTGGGCGTTAGTTCGTTTATCATCCAAAAAAGTTTTAAAAATATCTTCCATTACATTTTTATCTTTTTTAACATGTGCACTTTTCTCGGAATGAAATATTACTTTTTCTATTAAATTCCAGGAAAAGTGAAATTGTAAAAATCAAATGTTTCAAATTACTGCTGAAATATTAAGATTGAAAAGGAATTTTGAAAAAAATAGTAATAATAAAATATGTGAAAATTGTCTTATTCGCAACAACACCAAAACAAGACAGTAAAAATTCGAAATGAAATAAATATCGAATAAAATTACAGCAAATAATTGACAACGACTAAGTTTTGATATTTAAGTATCATGTAGTAGCTTCTTAGAACTATGCAAAAAATGGCTGGAGCAAAGCTCTGTTTTGAATAAAATAATAATGCTGAGGACATAAAAAATGAAGCAGGGAAGCTATGACTGATTATAAATTTACAGAATGAAATTAATTTGAAATCAAAATTCAATTGAAACTATTTTGCTTCCATTTATTAAAGCTTTTATGTTGCAAAGATGCTAATTAACTTTGAGCAAAAAGTTAGATTAGATAAGTGCTACACTTTCAAAATCTCGATTTAAACTTGAGTCACATTTGCATTCACGAGCATTACACATCAGATTGGGATATCTTGACTTTCATAATAATTTATATTTAGTATTAACGAATGAAATAGCATGAATCTCATAGTCATTAACTTAGAAAGCATATTAAAATGTATAGTATTCTCGTGCATATTCATTTGATTGATCAGCTAAGTTTTAGTTATACTTTAGACTTCAGACTGTTCAGCTTTTATTAACAGCATAGATCAATAATTATCAATCAAATGAACAACTTTTTGTCTTCAAAGTTTCATTACTTATGATCTGATGAAAAATCACAAATTTATTTATTTATAGGCATTTCTAGAATCCAAATTATCCAGTAAATTACTTTTGCTTTAAATTTTTTCCCTCAAACTCATGATTCATAGCTTACTTGATATTTATCAGCGATAGTGATCAATTTCCATTACTGCACGATAAAGTATTTATAATTATTCATACGATAGAGATCATTTCTTCAATCGTAAAAAGAAGGAAAAATTCGAACAAACTTTAACTTTTCATATGTTATGTGGTTAGCTTTTTGTTGAGCTGAAGCAATTAGTATTTAAGAGAACTCGAATCCTTTATATGATCAGAAACAAAACTCAGTAGTACTTGAATTTTTAATTTTCGAATAATCACTACAAGTTTCAAAAACTTAACGCCATCCCATGTATACATAAACTATTATTAAAATTAGATCGTCGAAATGCAATCAAGAAAATTTGTCTCTCAAGAACACATTAAGTAATTCAAAATTGATTATAAATAAGAAAAATGTGAAATACAAAAGCTACCTAATATTTAAGCCATCAGATATTATGTAAAAAATCAAATAACCGTAGTTACAACTACTTATTACTATAATGATTTGTATTTGTGCACTGAACCTACTACTCCAAACTTTTATTTTCTGCTGCAAAAACCTTCGATACCAAACATATAAAATGCATTAAATGTTTTCACTTGAAACTTATTGACTATTTCAAATTAAAAAATCTACTCATCAAAAAAGAAACTTGATGTGCTATCAAAAATATTCACAGCAACATATATTAGCAACTGATAGAAGACTTAGCTTTGTATAAATACTTCTGGATAAATAGATCACATCACATTGTAATATGTTAAACTGTTAAAATGAATCTGCTGCAGTGAAAATCGTAGCATTTCTATATCTTACACATTAGCAGAACAAGAATTAGACTAGCACACATACGATGCACCTCAGCATTTAAGTAGAACAACAGTTGGCACTTTCAGACTTCAAAATTCTTTATCTATGGAAAATGAGCTACAATTAAGAGTAATGTAAGTGCTCAAGTGAGAACTTCTTGCTCTCCATTTGAAAAAATTTATGACAGATCCTTCCATTCATTATTCAGCAGATAAAATAGTTCTTACGAATAAATTATCAAATATAAACCAACTATTAGTAGATAACAAATATGTCAGATAAAATATGATCTTTTTTAAGCATATGAGAATGTATGTGAACGCCTCGAAATGTAAGAATTCTTTGTGATTGTTGAACGCAATATAATTTCTTAAAATTTGTTCTCGAGTATACTGCAATATTTCTTGATTTTTTACACAGAAATCGAACAACTTTCACTTGAAAAATAGAAATAAAAGCTTCCTTCCGTATAAATTTTTACACAAAGACAATTTATCTTACATCAATTATAGGAAGATAGTCAGTGATCGAGATAAATAATATTTTACAGCAATATTTGAGCTCAATATGAGTGAATCAATATGCAGATCAAAAGTGATAACGTTACTTCAGATACCACACTATATATTTGAATAAAAATGTAAACAACCCTATTGAAAGAGACATAATAAGCACGACACTGAGACCACAAAGATATAAACTGTAATCAAAAAGCAGCAGAAATTACTTCATACACAGTTAATTTCAATAACCCAGAAAAACATTAATATGATAAGACTACTTCATAAGTGCTGGCATATATAACGGACTTAATTTAATCAAGGCTTAGTCGTGAATTAAAACACAAGACATTACAAATGTTTTGCGAAAACTTGCAGCTCTTTCTAAAATATCAAAAAGTAAACTAAATAAACAAGTCGCTTCAATGAATAACATGTGAGAAAACAAGCATAAACAAACTTCTGTTGACTTTATTTATTATCATCGATGATAATTTTTGAAGAAATAAAATAATTTGAACAAATGTTGCAAAAATCTTGCTGCCTACAAAAAAGTGTTTCTCTTAGAATGTGGTTGAGAAAGTTCTGAATTCACTTTATTTAGAATGATCTTACAATAATTCTATGTGTCATAAGCGATTTCATGAATAAGCAAAATTTAAAAGAGGTAAAAATTTGTTTTAAACTGACATTTATGGTAAGCGTAATATAAATAAGTCCATACTAACTTGGGAACATCTAACATGAGTCAATAATAGGAGATAAGGGGCGTAAAACGAAACTTCGTAAAATAGTACTATTTGATGATAACACGCCAATTCCAACTACTGTTTCGTTTTCTATATGCAAATTCCACATGTTTCGTACTTTCCCGACTTTCTGTTGAATATTTTCAACTTCTTTCCCTTTTTTGTCTTTTTTCCAGAAAACAAGTCCCAGTGTATCGTCGCAATCAGCTTTTACAACATACACACCATTCAAAAGCAGATTCGTCACAAACAGTCTAAATCATTATTCATATTAACACATCGCCTTGAACAAGCTGTCAGCTTCTAATAACTTAAGTTTAGTATTGTCTAAATCATTCTATAGTTATTGGTATTCTAGGAAGTATTATAGAAAAATTTTGGTGCTACTTCATGCAGTGGAAATGATACAAAGTGACTTCATCAAAACTAAAATCTTAAAAGAATTAAAATCGAAAGTTTCGAACCTATACGAAGCTTGTCCTGGAAGATCAATATGCATACCATAAGATGCTGGAAATGCACCACTTTCTAAATAATGGGGTTGCATTTTTGCTTCTGTCAAGCAATAATACTGCAACAGATCACATATATACCTAAGTTTTGCAACTAATATCATCAATTTTGATAAACAAAACGTAATTTACACTTACTAATATCATATTTCAGGGTAATTCTAAGTAAAATCAGAAATGCTTTAAGTACAGCCAAGAGAATAGATGCCAATAATAGAAATTAAAAGGTTTTACAACTAATATTTGAGCGAAGTAAGATGGTACAGTAGAGCTAAATTTGATTGTAGCCGATAGATGTTACTAAATGAATGCAGGTAAAAAATACTTTGCAACCATTTTCATATTTTAAACCAAAACTGAAGTTAGAGTCAATGGGTAGCGTCGTCAAAGGATGAGGTTTGACAAATGTAACCAAACGATCCCAGAAACTGAAAATTAGGCAGTCATACTGAAAAAGATTACATTCAAGTTAATGTGCAAAGTACTTAAAAACGTCAGCATAATTCAAAATTCATTCATCGGTATAAAAAGTTAATGAGAGAAAAATTAAAATTCAAAGACCGTAACGCATTGACTGTGATATCACGACGGGGCATAGTTTCAATAATCCATCCAGGGGCAAACAAAGCGATCGATAAGTTATGTAATCGTGGATACGTGAAAGCTTTATGACTATTCCAACCACCACCTCCTTTCAATTAAACAGTTTTGAAAATTTTTCATTAAAAAGGATAACTTTTGATACTTATCTTTTACTAATGAGCTTCAAACTTGTTAGGCTTTAATGTTGCTAAAATCTACCAAACTTTGCTCAATTACTTTTCAGAATATAAAAGTGGATGAAGTGATAACAAGATGATGAAATAATTATATACACCTAAAAAACAAGTCTGTAACTAGCACCTATTAAATGCTTCCAATCGATATCATGAGAAGTCAATTGCAGAAGAATATTAAGTATATGATCTTCGCTCAAGTAAAATTCAAAGTAATCCTTTAAAAATTATAAACAAATATGAAGAAGCAAATAACCGAAACACTGTCGTCCAAAACAATCGATTCCAACAAAGACATCTCGAGTGCGATGTTTTGCTTTCACACTACTTCTTGACAGATGACTATTGTCCCAGATGTAATTTAAAAAAATACCATCCGTTATGTCAAACCATTTTCTGGATGAATGTTTGCAATGAAACATTACAAAAACGAAGATCGTTAGAAACACATGTTTGTACCACACAAAATAGATACAAAATTTTAAATATATTTTTAATGAACGCAAACGTTCGATTTCCAAAACAAAGTAAAAAGAAACCATACTGATTCTCTTCATTTAATTCATTTTGCCACTTCAGTTCACCTTTCACAGTAACTGAATCATACCATATTACTCGACTTCTTTCACCAATTGCTTGCCTCATTTTGTTGGTAAGTGTTTGCAAAAAAATATCAAGATATGTTAAACAATCTTCCTGAAATAATCAAGAACTTAGAGCAATGTTAGAAAGCTACAACAACAAGTTTTGTTGAAAAAGCAATTAGACTTATTGAACAATTTTAACATGAAATTCTGCAGTTCTCAACAACAAGATATACAGCTTAAGCTTTCATGTTTAATAGATAAAAAGTTGTAAATAAACTGTAAAGATATGATGATGACTAATGTATAAATGAAAAAAGAATTGGAAGATAGTTGCTCTAAAGATGATAAAAATTATTTATGTCTTTATAGGCACTAAAAAACACAATAACAATTTGAAACAGGCAAAAATGTTTTTAGAGAGACATAGGAACAAAAAGAAGAACTCGAATCATACAAACTTTCAGTATGCAATCCCACATCTTTTTTGAGTTTTCAAAATCGTAAATCAAGTTCAAGTTCAAAATAAAACCTCCAACTTATTTTCGATATTGATCAGCCATCCATCGAAATTATAATATACAGCAATCTTTACTAAATTCCGCACAATTTTTACGACAGTTTCTTCATTCTTAAGAAATTCTTTACACAATTTTGCTCCATCATCCCATTCAGTAATAACAGTCCCTGAAATGTATGATAAAAATGATGCGTTAGCTTTCAGTTAAACACTTCTAAAATCAGTACTTTTCGATGAATTTTCCAAATACTGCTTTGGATCCGAATTAATACAATATTTCACTGTTGAAACGTTTAATATCATATTATTTGATTCGAAATTTTGGACCACTCCAGAATATATCTTCATTCTTTTCTGATGCGGTTTTAAAATTACTATGTCAAAACATCATTAAATGATCAATCTATTGAATAAAGCATTAAAAAACAAGACTTTTCGTAGCTACTTGACTGAACTCAACTCAATGCCTGTAATTTTAAAGTACAGCAAATCATTAAAATGGAATGAACAAAATGCGCTTACCAAGCACTATAACACCGTGCATATGAGCTTGATTAATCCAGCCTACAGGTGGAATCGTAACAAAATTATGTGAGAAATACACAAAAATATCAATATACCACCAATGAAAAAATACAAATGGAGACTGGGAATCTGCAACTTCACAACCATCCAATCTATAAAGTATTGCATTAAACTTCCACAAAATCACTTCATGAAGCTTCAATATATCTTGGTCGCTTTAGTAAATCAATAAAAGATCGAAATTAATGACTTCTCTTCATCGAGATATCCACCTTTCATATCATGACAGACTAATGTTTGAGGATAATGATTTCTAGAATAATTTATCAATGGTTCGCCGACCAAGCAATCTGGAACAGTGCTTTCATCCCAGTTCCATAACTCTTCAAATTTCGACAAAGGAGATGTTGTTAACATCAAAGTCCTAACAATTCGAATATCCCGCTGTAAACAGAAGCAACTTAAGAACGCAAAGTTGAAATTCATTGAGAAGCAAAATTCTCTGCATCTTCAAAGTTATAATAGCATGAGAGCGCGTAAGAGAATTAGTGAAACAATAGCAAATACTAAACCGAAAAGTTTTGGGAACAGAATTTTTAAAAAGTTAAACTTAAAAAAAACTTCTAGAGCAAAAAAATTTGAAGGATTTAGATTATTGTAAATAACAATCGTTCATTTGATAATATTGCAGCTGATTCCTATTTAATGAGGGAGTGCGAACAATTCACATACAGCTAATTCCCGCACCATGTAATCACATAGTTAAATATATTTAATATAATTATGTGCACCACCAACGGTATAAGGTTTTAATGAAGAAAAAATTAAACAATAACTGAACAAAATATTGCATTGTATTTCCCAACACCGTATGAATCATGAAAATATTAGGGAGCAAGACATATGAGCCAAGTACAGTTGACACAATCAAAAAATATGTGAAAAATCAACAAAAGATATATGTAAAAAATACCAGTCAAAATTGAGTAGATTAAATAACTGAAATAACCATCAAAATAAAGGAGGAACAACAAAACATCGAAAGAGAACAAAAATCACGTGAAATATTAAAAAAACTAACTATCAGTGAATAAGAATTCAATTTGTACTCTAAAAAATTAATATAGGACAAGAATGATGATTAAAGCAATAAGGATCGTTGGAATGCTGAATATTATGGAATGAATGTATAATTTAAGGTAACGAATAAAAGAAACAAAGACCACAATACAATCAAATGTCTAGAAGCTATGAATATTTGAGCAGATTTGAGAAGGCATTCTATTCAAGAAAGTAAGGCACAGTAACACAAAAAAGATAAACTACAAAATACAAAATAGAATAAAATATATCATTTTAAAGCTCGCTATACTCTTTTCGTTTTTTTTCCATCTGCCTTAGTGCTTTTTTAACTTCTTTATCTTTTTCTTCGTCACTAAGAATCATTGATTTGCCTGATTCCTCATCCGTCATTCCAGAAACATCGATAGACGTACAAACTTCTATAAAAGAATTAGCTTCGATCAAAAAAGTAATGTATAGATGCTTTGGAAAATTTTATAGAAAGCAGTAATAATCATATATTACGTTTTTTTGTAGACTAAAACTGGTGGAAATTTTCAAAAAATTAATTATATTTACAAGTATAGAAAAAGTTAAAAGCAAAAAAAATTCAAAGCTCTTAAAACAATTTACTGATTGTTTCATGACAGAACTGACGCACTGGCTCCTTACTTTTTTGTCGAGAAAATGCAATTAGTTTGTCTTCGTAGAAATGCAAAAAATCATGACACTAAAATATGTATCAAAAAATTACAAGATTAGAATGTAAAATCCTCTTATATAAGAGCATTAACTTGCACTAATTCACACTTGAAATATAATAAAAATTATTAGAGAGTATGACATACAAGTTTCCATTTTGAGATACGCAAAGAATAAAATATACCGCTTCCTTGAACTGATAAAGTGTCAAACGATTTGGCACTTGTTTTAGTTTCAGAGTTGCGCGACGTGCATATATCCCTTTACCGGTTCGCGGATGTATTACAGCTGACCACTCGGATGACTTCTCGCATATATCATCTAGCATTTCTGACAACTCCACTTCAGATCTTATAAACGATATCTTCAACAGACACAAAAGAGTATTATATTGATTGATTGACTAAAACAGTTTTAATTGAGTAGAAAAAAATTATATGAAAAAAACACAGAAAATTAAGCACTTTCTTACCTTGTACGCAGATAAATAAAGTATTACCTTATTTGAATTATCAATTTTTTTTTCGTCTTTGTTCACTCCTCTTCCAATCTTTTCCTCAATCTCACCAATTATCAGTTCCAATTCCGTAACAACCATTACACAAGCTATTAGAAATCTGAGTTTAATTTACGCCATATATATTATTTATTTTAATTTTCCATTCCGAAATTATTTAGACCACAGTAAAAATTACCACTACAATTGGAGCTTGCCACTGAAAGCGTTAAGCATTTTTGAATGTATGACAGAAGAATAATTGATAACCATACTACAATCAGAAAACGCTTCATCTGTAAATGTTGATACCTTCAGCACCTTTTTACTTCAACTGGAAGCTACACTAATATATGTAAAATGGGAAAGATTACACCAATAATACACTGCTATCTGAAATAAATTCTTATCTTCATATAGAAGTAGTATCGAATTACTACTTGTTATAGTAAATGCACCGAACAAATGAACAGCACTTCTCACACCGAATTCATCATGTGAATGACTTAAATGGAGTGAATTATCACGTAGTTGAAAACGACGTGTAATTGGCAATTGTCCCGACTTGAGGTTGCATAGCATAGACGCCTGCATTTCATGAGCTGTGGAATATTCGTTAAATCTTGTTCAATTTCTGTCAATATAGTTTGACTTTCACTCTTGGTGTTTCCTTAGTTGTGATTCTTTATTAGAGAGGATGTTTTTTGAAATTGTGAGTATGAAACTAAAATGTGGGAACAATATGAAGGATAATAGGAATAGTATTTCTTTCAAGTTTTCTGATTTCTTTATGCTTTCATTCTACTTTGGTGCAGTTTTACCCAACAAATAGTTTTATATTACCGTGTATACAAACCAATTTAATGATAATATGATGTTGGAGTATAAAAGCTTCTTCAAATTTTAATGTCTTGTGATGAAGTTTAGTCAGATTTGTTTTCAAGAATTTGTCTGTAACAATTTTTCCATTCATCTTTTTTGAGAGCTTTGATAATTGAGTTATTTATTTGGTCAATAAGAATATTTGCTATATCTCAGCTATTGGTTTAGCAGTCTTGTATATTTCGGAAGATAGAGGCATGATTCTTAATGAGAAGTCATTTATTTTCAAACACGTTTTCACTAATTTCTGCGAATTTAGAAGAAAAAAAAGTCGCGCCAAGGAAAATAAAATGCAAGCTTAATTATGTATTTTTGTTTCACTGCCGTACAAGTATCATTCTAATAGCGACTTAACTTGTTGTGATCCTATGATGGACGTTTAATTTATTTACTTAGTTTTTTTGTTTTCAGGAGTGTATTGAGAATAACAAATAAAACTCATGTCTTGCTCTACTGTCGAATCAAAACCCTCGCAATCAGTTATGGTTAAGGGACCAATCAGTGTTACTATTTCACATAGTATTACCCCTACTACTCCTACTACTGTTACTACTCCTACTACCATTACTGCTAATATTGGAACACCTGAGATTAGTAATTCCACAACAGAAAGGATGACTTATCCATACAAGAAACGTGCTCGTGAGGAATTTGAAGAAAATGAACGAAAGATTGCTCAGAAAGAGCGTGAATTACGCGAACAACAAGGATTACGACAACAAGAGCTTTTACAGGAAGTTCATTTGCAAGAACAGCAATCACAGGACTCGCAGCAGAGACAAAAACTTAAAGTGCAATCAGGATTCTCGAACATATCAGAAATATTTACAGCATCGGAAACTTCTCCAGGTTACACAAAAATCAGATTGTTTTAGTATGAAACAGTTACCCATAAGATGGATGTATTTTGTTATTGAGTTTTGTTATAGCTTCAATTATTGAAATAGTTCATATACCGTATCTTTAATTTTATTATATCTCCCAAAATATTATCTAGATCTTCAGTCTTCCGTTTGCCTTTATTTTCTTTTTCTTTTACAGATCTGGTTGAATTTTAGCTAGTTTGTACTAGAGAAACAAGTTTTGTAGATGAAGCTGGAACAAGTGGTTTGAACCTCAACAAAATTCCTGGTGTTGAAATGCCACCACAACTACACGATGACACTTCTGATGTGGAAGATGACTCTGAAGAAACATCTAGCGATACATTTGGATCATCAGGTCACTCTTAATTGTTTATGTTTTTCTACCAGTATTTTTAGGAGAATATTTCTCTTTTGTTCGTTATCATGACGATAGAAAACTGAATTTTAAAAATTATTTACATTTATTCTTATGCAGTTAGCAGATTCTTTCAATATCGTTTGTATTCTGAAATGTATCTATTACAAAATATGTAAAATATACATTTAGTGATATCATTTTGTGTTTTAAATATTTTAACCTTCATATATTTTAATAATTTAATGATCTACGTTGGACTTATTATTTATTTAGAATTTTTTTTCGTTAAAATAATATCAAATCCATTGACACATTGCATTGTTAGGATATCATGAAGCAAAAATCGAGTCTTAGAAAGTAAGAAACAATAATTCCTAATGATAATGTCAATTTCCATAGCGTTTATATTTTACTCAAAATGAGAAATATAGCAAAGCAGCTTTTGAAATAATTTTTATAATCTGTTGTGCTTCGTCAAGAAATCTCAAAATTTTTTGCTTTTTTTGAAATCGAATCAAAAAATCTTATTGTAGATGATACTAATTTGTCTGATTTGGATGAAGCCGCTTGGGAAGCAAAACTGTCATGTTGTTTAGCGACTGCTGTCGGTAACAAGTACTTTGCTTGCGGTCGTCCGGCAATTGGTATTTGGTTCAGCAATAAATTGCGACAAAAAGCTTTGAAAAAGAAATTTCCTTTTGCATTTAACAAAATGGTAGCGTCCTTCTTAACTGCAAAAGTTAGCTACAGTGCTCGTTATTTGAAAAAAATCTTTCTAATTTTTTGAGTTTAACTGGAAAATCGTCAATGAAAAATTTTAATGTGTCCTTGTGATAGTTACAAAATTGTTATTATTGTAAACATTGCAGAGAGGACATTGGTACTTATGTTTATTCCATTATCGCGTAATTATGCATGAACCGCGTTTGAAAGCTAATGAAAATCTCGATTCACGAGATCTCACTAAGTATTTAGCTGTTGATGTCACAGATGATGAAATCGAAGCTCTAAGAAATGATCCCTTAATTAAAGTTAGTTGTCCTTACTACATATGTATGTGTGAAAAATTTTCGGTCATCGGTAATGGATACCCATTTTCATTATACGTTGAAAAGTGAGATTTTTACATGTTTTCAGAGTTATGTCAAGGACGTGGAAGGTGCGCGTGATGCACTAGAATCACAAAAGAAGAAAAAGGTTTGATTCATCTTTTTTTGGTTCGGATTTATTTCTATGAAAACACTGGAGGTGAATTATGAAAATGGTACTGTAAAATCCTTGTAATTTGTGGCAGCACTTTTTGAAATATTAAAATTTCAGAAAGGACGTTCTGAAACAAGTGGTGTAAATGTTGAAACCAACCAGAACGAGGCTTCAAAGTAAACACTCATCTTTTTTTTTTTCGAATTTTCTCTAGTATTTTATGAGTCAAAATATTGTTTTGATTTTACCAATTTTCTCATTTTTAAATGAAATTATAGCTTTGGTGTACTAGCTGGGATATGGCCATTTTCCGGGACAGATTTTCATTCAATGAAAAGAGGTGAAAAAGTAACAGCATCTGCTTCAGGAAAAGAAATGAACACGACATCTCCTGTAATTTTAAATCATTATTTTCAGACTAATATCAATAGGAGAAATTTATTTACTTGTGAGTTCATAGTCAAATATTAAAGTAGTACTTATATGTGCAATTTATAAGTGGATTCGGCATGGTTATTTAGGGGTTCATTAAAAGTTTTAAATCTAAAAAAATGTATTTGAAATAATTGATGAGATTATGCTACATGTTTAAACTGACGAGAACAAAAATTAAAGTTCTGCTAATAAAGCTCCAAAAAAGACTTCTTTTACCGTTCATTTGCTATCTATTTAGTTTTATTATTTACAAGAAGGAGTTAACCGGAATGATTGAATGTTTCTCATAAAGTTCTTCACATACCTAAACCGTTTTTTTGACGTTTGTGTTACATTTTCTCTTGATTCAAATATTTTTCATTGAGTCACTTTGTTAAAATGCTTTTTGTTATACTATGTTATTAGATAAATTTTTCAGCCTCCTCAAGTACCTTTCCATGTTCTCTCGGCTACCACTTTACGGCGTTATAAAAAGCATTTCAATCTTCCTCATCGTTCGAGTGCTAATACAAAACAGCAGGTTTGCGCTTTGTTTAGTTTGTAATCCTGCTATTTGGTATTTGTTTTTTTATAACAAATCTTTATTAATAGGCTATATATTCCTAGGACTCAGTTTTTTAGGAGATTTTCTTTTATGCATGATAATGCAAAAATTATTCGATTCATCGGTGTTCTGAAATTCGACTGTAGCTTTGTTTCCTAGACTTTTTGAGTTTGCATTCAGAAAAATTTTCGTTAACTTATTGAATTGCATTTATTGCATGTATAATGAAAGTACAAATTCATGTAAATATTTTAGATATGTTAATGCTGTCGTCAATTTAAGGTCAGTTCATAGTTACTTTAGACATTAGAAATGTCTTCAACTTTTTTATCATTTTAGTTATTGCAAGGTATACCAGAGCATTTCGAAACAATAGATGTACCTCCATATGAAACAGTTTCTCATTTTTTACACACTGTAAAGACGCACAAAAATAAACTTGATTACCCAACTGGAGAATGAATTGATGCACTTATCTTGAAGAAAAAATTTTCTTGTTTTCGTAAATTAAGTTGGTCGTCTTTAAATATGTCATTCCTAATCTTTTGAAGAATTTGTATATTAATATTCTTATTCCTTATCAACATGATGCTGTCTTATTTGTATCTTCTTTATTTTTGCTTACCTGCAACTAAGCTGTATTATTAAGACTAAAGTTGGACATGTCAC